ATGTGTTTTGCTTGCTTTGATTAATGCGCGATTTAATTTGTCTGTCTGACGTTGTTACATGAAGCCAGAACTGTACTGGAATTGCCCTGTGACCGATGTCACCTATTTGGCCCAGGGTCAACCGTGTAAAAGTAGACATTGATGTTTTAGTGACCTCCTTATCTGGTTAAGTAATTGTTGTTGTTGCTGATGATTGAGGTTCGAATGGAAAAATGTGAAACCGTCCAGTCAATCTTTACGTGGACATCGAAGAGGAAATGATTAAGTTGTTGTTACTTGCGCAGTATTCGATTTTGTGTTCATGCTATATATTCTATATTCTATACCAGGGCGATATTAGTCAAAGTCGTTCCTGCGGTCAAATTAAATGTCATTGGAGGGTGGCCCAGTGTGCCTGATCTCTATAGAGCAGATTAAGGCTTCTAGTGGTGTGCAAGTTACAGTTGCGTTTGTCGCAGTTATAAATAGGAGTTGTGGCAATGTGGTTGTAGAAGCGAAAGACTGCTGTATAGGTGAGGGATTAAGCTGCAATAGCCGTGCTAGTTGTTAAACTGCAGCGGTTGCGTTTGTTAAGTCACCCAGAGACACCAGTGGCGGGCAAATGTGAATGAGATAATGTGGTAAATAAAGTATAAGGCCTCTAATCCTGCACATGGCATGGGGGATTAACATCACGGATTCTATTATTCACAGTGTTCTTCGTCAGTTTGCTCCCATTTATCCATGGAAATCGTTGCGGATCATCAGACGAATTTGCCAATGAACTCCTTACTTGTGCGCAAATTTATTTTCAATAGGACGACATTCAACAATGAAGTATGGGAGAGAGAAACAAATGTGGATTATCGCGGATGAAAGAAAGAATACGGGGCACAAACTGTTATCATAGACCTGAAAGGTCTGGCAGATAATAGGGTCAACAGATAGTAGGATTTCTACCCTATTACTCATAATGAAGATTTGTGTGTATTAGATCGCGCAAGTATAAATGTGTCTTTTGATTTAAAGCTTTCGTGACTGCAGTAATTCATATTCTTAGCTCTTTCGGTAAAGTCACGTTGAAGGGAAACAATAAAATAATAAAATATATGTGTTATGGTCGAAACGTCGTGAGAATTTTTATTGTTTTATATGTATTTTATTATTTTATTGTTTCCCTTCAACGTGACTTTACCGAAAGAGCTAAGAATATAAATGTGTCGTTAACCCGACACCACCCAACACAGCCAATTAGTAAGAGTTGTCACGTAAACAAATCGTGGCAGCTAGTTACGACTCAAGCCCATCGTGTGTTGGAGAGTAAATCCACATTTCCAATTTGAGTACTGTGACGTTTCGCTGGTAATTACATCCAGCATCATCGGGCGATTTTGTCAGAATTGTCTATTTGAAACTCCTGTTAGTTGGGGCTCCTGAACGGCCAGTTATTCCGGGCGCCAGTGATTTTACGAGAAAGCCACAACGTTGAACAACACTCATTAGTGGGTACCGCAACTTGCCCGATGATGCTGGATGTAATTACCAGCGAAACGTCGTACTCAAAAATTTTACTGATGTTAATTCACTCTTCAACACACCGGTGGGCTAAAGTAGTGAACTAATTGTCTTTTGTAAACGTGACACATTTTTACTGTTTGGCCGTGTTGGGTGGTGGAGGGTTACGACACGTTTATAAATAACGCGATCTAACCCAAAAAACCTTTATTATGAATAATATTGGTCGCGAAAGCCTACGTGTTAAACTTCTCTGTTTAGATTCACGCGGTTTAATACTGAGGAGCAACTGAATTTCATTTTTATGGACCTGTTCTATTAGCAGGGTTGAGCCTAGATAGGGCTTTGGATGGGTGATCACCATGCACAAACAGGTTGTAATAGGGGCTGTGGCGCTGCAGTAGAGGGCAGTGTCACAATAGCCATTGTTGTACTGCACATTACGTCAATGCCCCCAAACATCTATGCTCCCCGCCAACACCATCCCGCACTGAACAGCGTCGGGGAAGAAAGGTCAAAAAACCCCCACGACCTTCATGGGATGGAAGGGGGGGGCTCATCCAATATCACCAGTGGATCTATGGAAATACCTGTCAACGCTGCCGTGTACATATTCAGCCCCCCATTTTTTTAAATCTTACTGCTTGATGAGAGCCTGGTGGTATCACATGGCTCTCGAGAGACCCTATCTCATGATAACATTTTCTTCCGCCGTCTCTTGTTTTAAGAGAATAATGTAAGGATACAGATCTCCCATGTTATTTAAATAGGGGTATAAAGATGCATCGATTCATCACAACACGCGCATTCAGTTGTCTCGGGAAAACTCGTTGGTTCTAAACAAAAAAAAAGTGCAAACGATAGCTAGTGGTGCGAACAAAACTGTGCAAATTAAAGAAAACGTAAACAATTAGAAACGAGACAGTGAAAACGACACAAAAGCAATTGGTTCTGGAATTGTGACAATTCATCAAATTGCCCAGATGAATCATTATCGTCACACCGCTATTAAATATAAACCAACGCAACAACGACATTTTGTCTTGTCGGGCTGTTGTTTGTTAGACTTACATTATTAGGCAGCAGCGTTTGTTTACGCAAATACATTCTGGCCGAATATATTATACACTTGAAATCCATTCAGTAAGGCTTTTATGGTTAGAATAAAAGGAATACCAATTACACCTCCGAGGGCAACCCTCACTTGAATGCATGATATGTTGGACACCATGGCATCCTACATTTTTATTCAGTTTGATTCCCTTTAATTAGGTGAGAGCTCATACAGATTCAGGACAAAATTCCAAGGTGGTATACATAGTTACCTAAGCACCTTTGAAAAAGTTTTAGTTTTGTTTAGAAATTGCACTCTGACATTACCATGCGGTGCGGTGGGCTGCTGTTGTAAATGATTGATGTCAAAGAATCTTTGAATTCCAATTTGGTAGAAACAGCTCCGTTATAAATCCATGGGATGCTGTAGGAACTGGACCGCTGACTCCGTGCAAACGAGGGATGTGGTGTCGATCGTTAGACCATCCATTTGTCACTTATGGATACATGCAAAAATGTGGTATACAGCACTTGACAAAGCATGCTTTCAGGAACGTGAACGTGATTAACACTGAATTAGAACTATATAAACGTGTGCAACCAATTAGTCACTTCGTGTCGGGCGGCTGTCTGAATTATGCGAGAAATACCCATGTGACGCATTTTGAAGAATTATTGCGCGAAAAGTTTTGGAAGGATGTCAAGTCACGTGTCGAGCTTGTTGGTTACAAAATGCGCCCAGCGTACGTGTTTAGCATGCTCCAGACGTCCGTTTCGGCTGCAGCTGGATGCACAAGCTTTCACTTGCTCACTTAAGCCATGGACACTCGGAGCAACTTTGCAGCTTGAAAGTTAGTCACAAGAGAGGTGTTGGCTGGGTGGCACTGGGGGGGTGGGGGGGTGATTAAATCTGAATAGTCACCCCCAAACTATGTTCTCAGCTATAGCACGCACTCTTCGATGGTTACAAATCACTGATTAAAAAAATACCTAAATGTTGTAATCAGTTCCTTAGTTTGAGTTATCCCACAGTTGAATTCTTATCCACGACTGCTGGGGAGGCCCCACTTTACAGATAAGCAAATTTGTGGGTAGAAGGAATTTCTATCCTATTATTTACTTTTCAACTCCCCTTATCCGCAACATTGCAGATAATAGATTGACTTTGTCACGAGGCACAGTGCAATGTGCGGTAACCTGTAGCTGTAAAACGATCAACAGTGACTAGAGAAGGCAGTTGAATGTGACATCCGCAGCATTGTGAAATATTGATATATTAATATCTCATGCCCTCATCTTCTACATCCATTGTCTTCACAATCACCCTGGCAATCTCTACTGTCCCACAGCAATTGCAGTCAGAATGTATCCAAACACATTCCTGCGGAGGGAGCTGGTAGGAACGTTGGGTTGCTCGGTTGATGGCCAGGGTCAACGGCGGCGTGGTGTATTCCGCAAATATGCCCGACTGAGGGCGGGCACAAGCCGGCGTGAGTAGGTTAAACGTTGAGTTTTATAAGGGCACCACGGGGTGACCAGCCCCTCCCCACCCAGCCCCACCCAGCCTCTCCCCACCCTTCCCACCCAGCCCCTCCCCACCCAGCCCCACCCCTCCCACCCCCCACCCAGCCCCACCCCTCCCACCCCCCACCCAGCCCACCCCTCCCACCCCCCACCCAGCCCCACCCTCCCCTCCCCACCCAGCCCCACCCCACCCTCCCCTCCCCACCCAGCCCCACCCTCTCCATCCAGTCCCTCCCCACCCAGCCCCTCCCAGTAAATTTGGATTGATGGGCCAACTGGTGCCAGTGGTTCCAAGTGTATGCCAATGTTGACCCAGAGTTGCATGTTTTCTGGGGTGGCGACTGATGGATTACAGCAAAGTCTCAAGAGTACGCGGGGGTTAGGTTCCGTGTACCTAGGGTGAATTCGCGTAATTTGGGGTTCGCCTATACGCGTGTAGTTTATAACATGTAAGTTTTTTTTTTATATAAAATTTATATAAATGTACATGTTTAATAAAGTACAGTAAATGATTCACAAATCATCGCTAGCATCCAGGTCAGATAGAACGCTAGAGATTTCTTTGGACTCGTTGTTTGCACGGGCGATTCAGCTGCACGCCCTAAAATACATCGTTCGCGTGATGGCGGCGAGGATTTGACTCGCTTCCCACCCCGTGTGTGTAGCGAAAGTACGAGTCACAAGTGTGAGTCACAAGTGTAAGTATGAATCGGGGTCGGTCGCGTATGAACGGGTCCGCGTACTCTTGAGCCCCCGGTACTCTCTGAGACCTGACTGTACCTTTTTTTGTAGGGCAATATTGGTGCTGTAGTGGCTAGGGGGTGTGGGTTAGAGGGAGGGATTAGTGCATATAGAAATTTGCATCGGGATGTCCATATGCAAATAGACTTAGAGTGGGGGGGGGGGGGGGCTTGTTATTGGCCAGGGGAGAATTATATAGGCCCCTTTTGCTTTGATTTGGCACTCTGTCGGGGTAGTTTACATTGGCCAATGGGATGCAGAAATAACCATCCCATTGTGGTGTTGAGACTGAGGAGAATCCCAACGTCAATTATTATTTTTATTTTTTTATTAATTCTATCTGATTCGATTTGAAAATTAAAAATGACTTACATAAGCTATTTTTAAACTGTTTTTTTTTTTTTTACAAATTAATGGATGGTTTGTTTAAAGCAAACTCTTCAGGTAGGATACTGACCGCCCCAGCGCCCCATACAAGACCATCCACCACTGGGTATAGTGAAGTGGTCTAAGTGTGATGAGTCTTATCCACCTGGCCGTGGTGGCATCAGCATCGGCTGGAGACCCCAAGTACCAGAATAAACAACAAACAACAACACACTCGTCATTTACACACTCCCACGACTTGCAACCCATTCAGCCCTTGTACCTCTGTACTCGTTCTTCCGCTCGGGCTGTTATAGCCATTGATGTTTTATATTACTTCTGCACCACCCTCATATGAAAGATGCTCTGCCACCCGATTATGCACTACCCTGCCAAGCCACGCCGTTGCACCCCCAGTTGCCAGAACATTGCTCCCTGGACAGAAGCTCCCTTCACTCTGCTGCCCGGATATGGAAACTGCCTCCCTGAACACATTCTCGGCGAAATCACTGATTCTGGTGTTCAGGCCTTCAAATGCCGAGCACATGGACATCTTCTAACTTCACCTTTGAGCTGCAGTGAACCAATGATTATGCCTATTAGATGGGCCAATGTCTGATATGGCTATTGTTCTCAATTGCACCCAATAAAAAAAATGTGTTACAAAAAAAACAATACTGCTCACTGTGGGGCTGTCTGGCACTTTTAGAACAGTTCCAAAGGGGCTTGCAGCACTCCAGACATTGAGATCATATTGGTCTTCATTAAGCCGTAGATATTGTTATTTCACCAGCCATGCGACCATTATGCAGCGTACATGACTTCAGCCGTCTACTTAATTTTTAAAATTAAGGACTAAGCAGCACAGCCCTGCAGGTGATTATACTAAAACACCTCAAAATATGCATAGGCATGGGATTATGTAACCCTTTTCAATATTCTTTTGTCTTCGGAAGTATAAAATTATCAGTATGGAGGCTGATAATTTGATGGGTATAAATAACGCGATCTAACCCAAAAACCTTTGTTATAAATAATATTGGTCGCGAAAGCCTACGCGTTAAACTGATGGGTAGCTCTCTGTGCAAAATGTATTTTCTTCCAATAGTTTTTTTTCTCTGGTTTTAGTATACAAATTTAGGACAACCATTTGATACATTTTACATAATAGTTAACATAACTTTATTTTATAGATTGATTCACGTGGAATTGTCTTCGCCAAAGTCATCATGCCCCCTGTTACGGTTCGACATATAGCGCCATTGCATACTTTCAACTATATTTCCATCTTATTTTTTTTATTTAAGCATGAAAAGTAACTGTATTTGTTGGTAAAGGCACAGCCCTGTAATTGCTTGTTCATGCCACTGGTGGCAGAAGGGCTTCTACTGGAGGCAGGCCTAGAGAGCCCAACTTGAGGGTATTTGACCTACTCTTTCATTTTGATGCCATATGTGTGACCTGCCGATCGACTAACTGAGGCACTCATTTATGTTGTTGGTTGTAAAGAGGTGGGGGGATATTAGTAACATGCCCATCATTTTAACTACTGCACTGGAAGATTGAACTTAACTTGTGAACTCTGGATTTCAAGTCAATTGTACGGAGCATTACACCACGGGACCTTACACAAAAAAGTATAGACTGAGTATAAAGCAGAATTTCCTATTAAATTTCGATTTAAAGCTTTCGTGACTGCAGGGATTCATATTCTTGGTTCTTTCGGTAAAGTCACCACGTAGAAGGGAAATGATAAAATAATAAAAATAAAACAATAAAATTCTCACGACGTTTCGATTGCAACACAAGCAATCATTTCCCTTCTACGTGACTTTACCGAAAGAACCAAGAATAAGAATTTCCTATTATACTTTAGTCTGAGCTAGGATTCCACGACCGATAGTGTTTGGTAAACGGAACGAGTTTTGATGTAATCAACAGTTTGATTCCCACAGTTGCTCATACATTTTTGTCGGAATTACAACACCATCACATTTGCTTTAAAATATATGTTCAAAGCCCCTTGGTTCTATTCAAAATAAAGCATCAGTTCACTGTGAACTCATATCTCAAATTTGAGAATTAACGGCAACCAAATATCAAAAGTAACAAAAGCGCATTCTGTTTGCGCAAAGAAATCTCCCTTGGCTGTCACGGGGTTAAATAAAGTACATTGAAAATAAATTGTCATGTATTTTATATATGTGATAGAAATAGCTAGGTGAAGCAAAAAAAGCAAGCATCCCACAGAATTTGAGGAAAGTTTCAGATGGTGCAAATCAATGTCTGGTACACAGACAAGTAAACTATAGAGTAATCAATTCGAGAACAGCACCGGGAGTTGGGTCAGCGAATGGATGCTTTTAGAGCTTCTGCACTTTAGCTTGGACTTAATTAAAATGTGGGAGGAAGGGGGCAGTTGGTGAAAAGGGAGCCAAGGGAATGGTGTGCCAGACCTAGCGAACTACCAACGAGAATGAGTGACCGCCCGAGGTTTTAATGGGATGTTGTGGAGAGAGAAAGAAGAGGGGACAGCCTTTTCCACAGTCGGTATTTTGCTCCACTCGCTTTTGCTGACCGTCACATTGTCCTGGAGCCTAGGGACAGCTTTTTAACACGAGGTAATTGGCTCCACTCGCCTTTGCTGCTTTTAACAACAACTTGCCATGCATGGTGATTGCCCATTCAAGCACTATCCAGGCTGAATGCTGCTTAGATTCTCCGAGTTCTGACGATTGAACTTGTCATACGCCTAATGCAGCAGTCTGCAATGCAAGGCCCACGGGCCACTGGCGGCCTTTAGTGCGGCCCCTGACGCACACCCCCATCGTGCTGCTGTCAAAGCCCAACGGTTTCAGTTGCGTGGCAGCACTCACACTGATGACGTCTTGTCGGCGAAAGTGGCCCCCCTCTGAAAATTCGTAAAGAACACTGGTCTAATGTAAAGGCATATTTGGCGATGTGCAATTCACAACAAAAACCCAATCTCATTTGTCAACGCTGCCTTTAAAATATATAATCGGTGACGTTTTGGGCAATTGCCCTTTGTTATGAATGAGGTTCATTGCCCAAAACGTCGCCAAATATATAAATATGTTTTTTAAGACAGTGTTATTAAATGGATGTTTTGAGCTCTTTGTGCAGGTGTAATGTGAGGAGGCAGTGTTTCTTTTGATAGATAAATGCTGAACACATTTTACACGGATGTGCAGGTTTGTTGGTGTGCATTTAATCATATATTATAGGTGTGCAGGTAGCCATATGAGGAACATAGATTCATTATTGGATAGGCAGGATGGTAGTTGTTTAGTTTACGTGAAGCTTTTATTTTTATTTTACCAGAGGACTTGGAGAAGCAAAAAAAATGGGGCATTGCAGTTACAAGAGTAAGGCTTACAAAATTTTTTACCAAGAAAAATAGAGGGCATAACCAGTCCTGCCATAACATTACTCTTGCAGGATATCACGTTTTGTAAATGTGTAAAATTAAATAATATAATAACAGGTTAACAATTGCAACAAGGAACTATTTCAACTGAAAAGGCAAGTCAATTGTTGTATCATTAAACACCGCACAGTCATGAGAGGAGACGTCTTAAGTTTCCTGTGTTATCGCCCTTAATACAAAAAATAAGTTTACAGTCAAAGTGGAATTGAAAAAGATGCATTTGTCAAATTCCTTCGGTGCCACGAGTGTGTTGATTTCATTTATGTTGTTGTCTTGCAGCTACTGTTGCTGGAGAAGTTGGTGCAGTGGCTAAGATTACGGTGGTGTGAAAACGCAAACCACCTGCGGTGTGTAAAAAAAAACCCTACTATTACCGGCACGAAAATTTTAAATGGAGCTCAATTGCGGCAGACATGAAATATTTCCCCACTGTGCGGCAGGGAAGGAAACTCATCAAGATGCAGAGCACACACAGCAGGCTAAGGTGGGCTGTGAAAACTCGGTGGGAAGCAGCACTTGGAAACAGTTGCGTTCTCTCAATATAATTTGTTAAATTTATGTTAATCCAGAAAGCGTTCCGAAGCATATGGTAAATGTACAAAATGGCAGCGTGTATCATTCCATCAATTGTAATATGTGCTTGCGAACGGTAATTGCATTTGCAGCGCAAGTAATACCGCTTAACGTAGAAAGGTATTGTACTACAGCGTCGTGTTTGATTTGTACACGTGGAAATCCGACTTACGCCGCTAGACAGTAATACGATAGCGCGGCATGTTGCCGGAACCACTGGAAGACTGACAACAGCCAGCTGATTACTCGGGCAAGCCCGAACAAGGTGTGGTATGGTTACACAGATACTATTTAAGAGATCTGCCTTTTGTCATGCATGGAGAGTTAGCAGTTCAGTTAAGCACCTTTTGAACGCTTCAATGGTGATCGGATTCCACGATGCCATCCTGCCGTGCCGAATCCCATTGAGTGGAACCACAGGTCTGTATCGTTCTCTCCGATGGATTTTCAGGTTGTTCGATGCAATGACGTTGATGGAACTGAGCGAATTGGCATCAAGAACCGGAAACGCCAACAACAGCCAGCAATGAACCATATTTGGTTTTAGGTTATGCCACGGATTGATACTTTTTAAATTGCAGCCAGCAAAACGTTGCATTACTCAATTTAGACTCTATAACTCATTGCCCCGTACTAGCAGACGCATACTCCAGGTCACTCTTGCAAACTAGACTAATCCTGGTCTCTTGAGTTCTCACGTGGTTAAACAGAAGAAACTGGGAACTTGAAAATATATTATGAACTCGTCAAACTGTGAGTTGTGTGCCTGGCCACGGCTAACGGTAGTGGTAAGTGATATCCGAAGCAGTTCTGGGTCACCTTCACCAACCTGTACTGACGAGCACGGTGAAGCATGGTCAAACAACACCCATGATGGAAACAGCATGGGGAGCCCTTGCATCTACAACGAAGCGTTGTAGATTTTTTTGTATTGCATACCATACTTTTATGATGCTGTGTTTGCTGTTAAACCGGGTATCTTGTTGAAAAATAGGCTTTTGGTCCCAATGGGAAATTACCGATTTTTTTTTGGCTATCTATATAATAAGAGACTTGAGGTGATTGTCACGTGGCTTCGATTTCTCGTCAAACACAGGAGACTCTGGCCTAAAATAAGGTGCCGGACACTCGAGTAATTGGTGCAGTGAGTACACGTCAACACTAGAGTCTACAGTGATAACGCAATGCGGCTGTGTCAGTGCCTAGGAGTTGTTCGCTCATCCTACTTGTCCCAACAAGCCGTGTTCCACGAAAACAACATTGTGTTCGCATGAAGCAATACCATTTAAATGTATTTGTAAAAGCACTTGGTAACTCAACGTTATTGAACTCGTATCAGCCTTTACTGTTCATGTTGTTTCGAGCGCCACAGTGACGAGATGTTAACTACCTCGCCTGGTATGCAGGAGTGCTTGGGTTTTATCCCGGCCCTGATGCCTGCTAAATTTGGAGTTTGCATGTCTCCCCTTTGTCGCGTGTATTTTTCTCTGGGTCTTCCTGTTTTCCCCTCCACATTAGAATCAACATGCGTTTAGAGTATTTGGCTATACATTTACACATGATAAGCCAACTTCGTTGAGCTATCAATTGTGGCCAGGTCACTTATGAAAAAGAGCTATATATCTCAGTAGGCCTTACCTGGTAAAATAAAAAAAAGTTTCCTTTAAAGTGCCCCGTTTATTGGATTCTCATGCTACGCTGTAGGTGATTATGCACAGCAGCACACAATAGGTGTTCATGCCTGATTTTGTAATAACCAAACTGTGCTTGAATTATGGTCAGTGCCCTATGGATTTTTCTCAGACATACAGTATCTTAAATGCAGCAATGGTGAACTGGACGTTGATGCTTCTGTTGTCATCATCACTTTACAATTACAGTATTAAAGTGTAGACTATAGTTGCTTAGATATTTTCTAAGCAGAGAGGAAAACCACGCCGGAAAAAAGGTGATGGACGTCGAAGCAAACAGGGTGGAAACCGAGAGGCGGGCTGAGAGAAAGGGTGCTTCGAAGTGGTGAACAAGGATAGGAAGGAATGTGGAGTGGATGTGGAGATGATTTGCTCAGGACAGGAATGAGTAGATAAAGAGGACCCGCAAGGCAGACCCAACACTAGTCGGCTAAATGCAAAGAAGAAGAATGCAACAGTATGAAAGTGTTTATCGGCTATCGAGCATCGTGAGTTTGTGTCTGCCCTGTTAAATCTTCTGTCGAAGGGTGTTATTATTATTATTATTTGACCCCAGGGCCATACGTGTAAGTTATACGCTTGAGGAATAAAGTGTTATCTGCGGCTTGCTTGACCTGCTGGGTTATGGGGGTGTGGGGCTTGGCGGGACTAGATTAGGCCCTCTTTGTAACTACCACAGGCTGCGCTTCCGTTGGTGCGTACGCTACAAGTATTCGTGTTTTTTTTTTGCTCGTCTTGCAAAACACTCGCAGGCCAAGTTACTCGCAATCCAAGGTTTTGCTGAATGTCTGACTCCGATTTCGGCCATTCGCAGGCCTTGACTCTTGAGGACAGTTTTAAAATAGGTCCTAGCCTTGGCGTTAGCACAGCACAGCCTCACGCACGCAGGCCCAAAATTCAGTCTCTTTCACATTCATAAAAGTCAAATTGTCCTCGATTTCAAAAGGGGACAATAGACTAAACTGGTTTTCGTGGCAATTCTGCATTCCCGTGACACCGACGAGGATTTACGGTAGAGGGTCGCTGTTGACTTTTCAAATGTTGGTACTCATTTTACCAAGCCTGCAGGGGTGATTGGCTAAATGAACCCGCGATGGGGATTTGAAATTGTTAACGTTCAGATTGCGAATCGGACGCTATTCCGCAGCACCACCCCGGTCGATTCATCAACCAAATACAGAAGTAAATGACAAATCAATTCCATATGAGGGACCATTAACACAGTAATACATACTCTGGGTGAAACAGTGCATCAACTCATTGGTTAACATCAATTATGTATGCTCTTGATAGATTAACAGATCTTGCAAGTAAGAATCAATGTTTTTCTATTCGTATATACGTGTCATATGGAAATATTTTTCACGTGACTGCTGTAGCCACTTGAGGCCGCTACATTTGCTACAGTCCATTATAAAAGTTAAGATCTGGATTCTGTATTACATTATTTTTGTGTGCTATTTGTTTCCAAAATAGATTCATTGTGCTCTGCTGCGTCTTATACTGTAATGGTAGCAGTGGTCTTGCCAGAAAGAAATATAAACTAAACTATGTTTTATTTTACCAGGTAAGGTCCACTGAGCTACACAGCTTTTTTTCAAAAGCAAGCTGGCCACAAATGATAGCTCAACGAAGTGGCTTATCATGCGGAAATGTATCGCAAACAAACACTCTAAACGCGTGTTTCTAAATGTAGAGGGGAAAACCGGAGGACCCGGAGAAAAATCCACACGACCACGGGCAGAACATGCAAACTACAAATATACGGGTGTCAGAATCAGGATCGAACCCACGGCATCCTGTATACCAGGCGAGGTAGTTAACATCTCACCACCATGCCGCCCAACAATATGAATTGTTTCCATTGATCATTTGAATTCTTTTGATTCTTCTAATTAACGAATTCCCTTCACCTTCCAAAATAAAACTCGGCAAGTCAGTCGTATAAGTACGTAGAGTGACTACATGTAGAGTGACTACATATAGAGTGACTACATGTTTACGTTTTAATAGAATGACTCAGGCATTGGTCCTGGGCCTCCCCTAGGTCGACTCGGCCTCAAGTGAGTACCTGGTGCGGTGTGTAAACATCGCCACCGGGGAGACAAAGGCGGCCGGGCGTGGTGCTGGCCACCCACCCCCTCGTGTGTCGTCCCGGTCTTCATAGGTGCTCGCTAACAGCACTTGCCCCTACAGTCTGTTAAGGCTATACAGGGGATGTTTGTCTTTGTATTCGAATGCATTCATTTGCACGTTAAGTTTCACTACTGACGATTCCATGCTTAACACAGTGCCTTAGCCTGCGCACCCTTACAAAGGCGATGTTCCATCTCAAGAGGTTGTCGAGGTGAAATATTTAAATGTGTAAAAAAAAATTAAGTGCAAAGTCTGGTGTGCTTTTTCCCCCATTAAGGAGATATGAATACTTTAAATGAATTGCCTTTTCTGTTTTTTCTCCATTATTTATCATCACGAGTGCCTGGCATGTCACCATGTCTGTTTAAACTCGCCGTTGTTTATCCACTTGAGCGTCGCGTAGACTATTTTATTTTATTGTCACGTGGAAGTCCTTCTCAGCCACGGCGGTGGTTGGGTCGGTTCATTATCATCGCCTACTTTTATTTGTAGGAATAGGTTTAACCCTTTTAACTGCCACAAAAAACTGACACCTTTATTCAAGGCATCATGTTTGCAATAACCACAACACAAGCAGTCAAAGTGCAAACAAAAAAGACAACTCTGATAATAATATGCACTGTCCTTGAATTTGATTGGTCCACACCCGAGACAGCTTTTCTTAGAGCCTAGTCTTGTTTGCATTTTGACTGCTTGTGTTGTGGTTATTGCAAACATGATGCCTTGAATAAAGGTGTCAGTTTTTGTGCCAGTTAAAAGGGTTAAACCTATTCCTATATCTTGTTTCTGGCAAAGGAGGTTTCATAATGTAAATACTTTTATTTGCTTACAAAAGAGACGTCGGTGATTAAAACATTTGGACTGACACCGGCACGCAATGACCTGCTCGTGTAAATAATAATGCTTGACGCTGCCCTTGTTGTATTATTCATCTGTTCGTCAATCCA